TTGAAGCTGAGTAACTAAATCTCACCGGGGACTGTCTAGTCTGCGGTAAAAGGACAGAGAAACGGTTGGTTTCATACTAACAACACGAATTTAACATTTCTGGTTGTAACTGGTCATAGCTTGGACTTGATATATGAAAGAATATAAAAATATATAGAATAGAATAATTTAGATGGGTATATATTGTCGCTTAAATTTGCTTTAGTTTTCCTAGAAAAAAAAAAACGCGGTATGCCACTGGTTATGGGAACGATTTCCCTGTAAAAGAGACACAATCGAAATTGAAACGATAGGGCGATGGAGCGACGTGCTAATTCCTAGACTTTGTAAACACTTCTGGCATCTAAAAACGAACGAGAAACAATCTTCTCATCCAATTTCCTATATTTAATTCGGCGGCCTTGCTCTATTAAAATTGTCTCAACGCTTTGGGGGCATCAGCATTATGTAAATGTTTTTTCGGAAGCCTGGGTCACAACTTTCAATAAAAATAAAACTCATAAATTGGCAATTTTCGCGTGAGTTTTTTTCGCATGATGAACGATGTTATAAAAATTCAAATGGCAACAAGTGCCGGGATTTAAGGGAAAATTAGCTTTCCTATCTAAGATGGGAAAACGTGATTGATTGGCAATATGACATTTTATCCGCCCTAATCGATAGGCCGAGCCCCACCGGCCTTCAATTGTTAATAGCAGGGACGGACTATCCTCAAAATAGGCGCTAGCTGATAAGGTATTTAATTCACGAGATTGCTTTCAGAGATGTTAAGTCGTTTTGTATTGCATATTCTGGGCCAAATAAATATCTACCACCTTAATGAAACTTAAGAGATTTATAAATAAGTAAGCAACAAAAACAAAACATGAATTACGAAAAAAAAGTACCAACTACAAGCTTATATTCCATAAATTCTTGTTGTTTATGTGATAAATTAACGTTTTTCAATTTCAAATTGGTACGTACGTATCTATGAGATGGAATAAGTGACTAAGACGTTTTGTGCAAAATTCCAGACCATCATCTTTAAATATGGCGGACTTGACATTAGCAGAGATCATTAATAGACGACTGAGTACTTTTATGTGTTCTGAACGTTTCATGATCCCTAGAATATGAAAAAATAGGCCCCCTGTTCCGATCTGTCTGTGTGACTGCCTTTTGTCCGAATTATTTATTAAACAAATAGTCTCCGTCATCTCAAAATTTTTCCAAATAAATCCATATGAAATATCCAAAATATTATGACATTGTGATTGTGGTTCATCAATACACTAATAAATTTTAGAATTACTTATACAGGGTGACGCACAAAAAATAAAATAAATTGATTGTATTGATTAAAATCAAGAACGACCCGCCATTTCCCAAAAATTTGTAAATACAGTACTGTTGTTATTAATATTTTATTGCATCTATCCAAACTGATAAACGTGTCCTTGCAAAAATGTTGATGAGGTTATCACAAAATTTTGTAATGAAAAAACTCACTTGAAATGCACCCGCAGCATACTTCTTTATATTTACTATAACATTACATAGGTACACATCTTTATTTTAACATAAGAGCGTTATTATTAAAAAATAAAATTCGCAAAATCAAATCTTATAATTTTATTTTTCCAATTTTTCTATTTTTCAATGTTTTGGTTTAATAATTTTTGCTTTTTTCAACTTTAGTTTTTTTAATTTTTCAATTTCTCGTCTTCCAAATTTTTCGATTTTTGTTTCTTCCAGTTTTCGATTTGCATTTTTTTTTATTTTGCAATTTTTCCATATTACAATTTCTCATTTTTCGATTTTTCGTTTCCTCATTTTTTCATGTTCTTGATTTTTTATTTTCCCGATTTTTTCCATTTTCATTTTCTGGGTTTTATATCATTATATTTTCGTTTATTCAATTTTTCAAATTTTCAATCTTTGATTTTTGAATTCCTCGACTTTCCAATTTTAATTTTTCGTTTTTCAATTTTAGAATTTTCAGTTTCTCGATTTTACAACTTTTTGGTTCTTCAATTTTTGATTTGAAATTTTTCTAGTTTTTATTTTAAATATCTAATAATTACAATTTTTACAATTTTTCATTTTTTCAATTTTACGATTGTGCAATTTTTCAAATTCTCAATTACCGGATTTTCTTAATTTTTAATATTTCAGTTTTACAATATGTATTTCGTTTTTGGATTTTGCATTTTTTCGATTTTGAAGTTTCTCAAATTTTAATGTTTTAAGTGTTTCTTCAAATTTTCATTTCTTGTGTTTAAATTTCTTGATTTCCCGTTTTTAAATTTTTAAAAGTTTTCAAAATACATATATAAAAATATGTTTTCGATTTGCTCATTTTTGATTTTTCAGTTTTGCAATTTCGCAATTTTTCTATTTTTTTTTTTTGAAAAGTTGAAAAATCTAAAAACTGAAAAGTCGATACATAGAATCGTCAAAACTGTAAAGGCGAAAAACTGTAACACTGAAAGGTATAAAAATTGAAAAATTATATATCGAGAAATTCAAAAATTTTAAAAAAAACTGAAAATTCCAATAAATGAAAATGTTTTAAAATCCAGTCGATGAAAAAGTGAAAAATCGTTAATTATTATTACATATTTAAAATAAAAACTAGAAAAATTTCAAATCAAAAATTGAAAACGAAAAATTGAAAAATAGAGAAACTAAAAAATCTAAAATTGAAAATTGAAAAATCAATTTTCCCGAGTTTTTGATGTTTTTCCATGTTTCTTTCGTTTTTATAATCTTCCTTTTATTCAATTTTTCAAATTTTCAATCTCCGATTTTTCAGTTACTCGATTTTCCAATTGTTAAATTTTTTAGTTTTGCAATTTTTGGATTTCCCAATTATCGGATTTTCCTATTCTTTAAATTTTTACATTTTTTTTCCGATTTTACACTTTTTCGATTTTTAAGTTTCCCAATTTTTAACCTTTCGATTTTTCAATTTTTTGTTTCTTCAGTTTTTCAAGTGGAAAATCGAAAAATTGCAAATCGAGGGACTGAAGAAAGGAAAAATTACTGTGTACGCAAATCCAAAAAATATTAATGGAATGATAAATCACAAGTACAAATTCATCATATTTTGTACATTTTAGATAGGATTTATTCAGCAAAATTTTGGAATGACGTCATCAATTCTTTAGGGGGGATGAGCAAATACAAAAATTTACCATGCTTATGATAACTTTAAAACATCTCCAAGATTTCAAAGCATTCGGTTTTGTAGTTCCTGATTAAATCAATAAAGTAAATTTACGCATTCATTAATTTTTTTAAATCACCCTGTAATATGCAAATCCAAAAAATATGAATGGAATGATAAATTACAAGTACTCATCATATTTTGTACATTTTGGGTAGGATTTATTCGGCAAAGTTTTGAGCTGACGTCATCAATTTTTTGGAGGGGATAAGCAAAGATATTTTGACAAAAAACTTATTATGTTCTTTATAACCTTGAAACATCTGCGAGATTTCAAAGCATTCGATTTTTTTTTTCCAAAAATCTGGACGTTTCAGGTAAAAACTCTATTCGGAGTCATAAACTACATGTTTATGACTCCATATGTTATTTTATACAATTTCAAACCCATATGTACAATTTTGAAGTGACGTCATCTCATTAGTAGTGGGGATGATGAGAGAAATTTTGGTTAGCGTTTCACCATCTACATGATATTCCTAATATAAATTCAAAATTTGACAACAATCGGCCCAGTACTTTCGGAGATTATCAGTCTAATAAAAATCCGTGACGGCAGACAGACGGACAGACAGGCAGAGGGAAATGGGAGACCTATTTCTTCGTCCTGTATGGATCATGCAAGGTCGAGAAAACCTAAAAGTAGAGAGTCGGCCGACGGCCTCCATTACAATATTTCCTGAGCATAAGCGAAGGAATAAAATCGGGAAACTTAAAAATCGAAAATAAATAATGAATCGAAAAACTGGAAAGAAGAAAAACCGAATCGAATCGAAAAATTGGAAAACTAAAAAATTGTAAAACCGAAAAATTATAGAATAGTCAAAATTGTAAAGTCAAAAAACTGTCAGTGCTACAGAATTCGACTTTAAAAATGATTTAATTACATTAAATTTAATATCTAAAAATTCAAAAATTAAAAACCGAAAAATTGAAAAACAAATATGTGAAAAAGTTTTAAAATTCGATAATTGAAAAATGGAAAAACTCTAAAATCGTATAACTGAAAAAGTGTTTTTTTTTTATTACAGTAAAGTCTCGAGTAAAGTATTACATGTTTAAGATGAAAACTAGAAATCAAAAATGAAAGAAACGAAACATTGAAAAATCGAGAAACTGAAAGATCTAAAATTGAAAAAACGAAAAATTAAAAAATGTAAAAAGTAAAACCGAAGAACTACAAATCAGAAAATTGAAAAATCCAAAAACTGAAAACTCGTAAAATCGAAAAATTGCAAAATCTAAAAACTGAAACTTCCGAAAGTGAAACGAAAACTACAAGATTTAAGCTATCGTAAAATTGAAGAAACAAAAAAAAAATAAAAATTGAAGAAACAAAACACTGAAGAAACTGAAATTAAAAAGACGAAAAATTATAAAGTCGGAACATTGAAAAACCGAATAATTGAAAAAGAAAAATAACCGAAACGAAAAATGTAAAACTCCAGAAATTTGAAATCGAAAAATTGAAAAACTGTAAAATTTAAACTTGAAACTCGAAAAATTGAAGAAACAAAAAACAGATAAACCTTCGATCCATTGTTAGCATTAAAATGCAACATGTTAAGAATTGTTTACAAAAAAATCTTTGCGTTCGACAACACTGATTTCCTTTTTTAATAATAGTAAAAAATAACCTATTATGTACGGTGTTAATTTAAAACATGCAACTATGGTGTGTATCATTCAAAAAGAAAAAAAAACAAAACAAGTCCGCCCCTGCTCGCTAGAGCCCATTATTTATGACCGCAAATCCGCTCAAGTTAGGATACCAAAATAAAACCAGCTCTCTTTTATAAACAAATTTATATAAAAAAATAGTACAAATATAGTCTATTATTTAGGCGGCGCTTGTAAGACTTTCCGTGACAGCCTCATCAACCCGGAAACCGGATCCCTGCCAAAGTACTTGACTTGTATTTCTTGGCCTACCTGCAAGTCAAGCGCCGAAGGGTGAGCAACCTACAAAATAAAAATTACCCAAACGACTATACACCCTTCCCACAACCTTTCTCTGATCTAGCTGCGAATTATGCAGCAGCGCCGGTGGCATCCCGGGGTACAAAGTAACCATAACACCTATATCCCTAATTTCCACAATGTTGGCACTGTAAATACCGCCGAACTCCAATTCCGGAACTCTCTCAGCTGTCAAAAGTTTGTTGATGAATTCCTGTGCTTCGTCCATGGCGCTTTGGTTGGGGGCGAAAATCTCGAAAGTGTTGTCGTCGAGCGGAGACACCTGCGAACGACAATTACCAACCACATTGCAACAACAAACAAGAAAAACACTAACTTGAACACCGGTTTCTGCGAATAATTTCTTCAAGTTCATGCCGCCCATGCCAATCAGTTTTGATCTTTTGTGTGGTTCCACTTCGAGTTTCTCGGACACTGGCCAGTTGTCTTTTTTTATGGTTCTAGGTTTATCGATGCATTCGTGCATGATTTGGAAGATTTTGTGTTTAGCGTCGGTGGCTTTCTGGATGGCTTCCATTACGATTTTCAGAGGGAGGCCTGGGATTTTGATGTCGGCTTGAAGGGCGGTGATTCCTTTTTTGGTACCGGCGATTTTGAAGTCCATGTCGCCCATGTAATCTTCTATACCCTTAAAAATTTGTTAGTGACATCAAACGAAGTTTCAGCGATTACAGGAAAATAAAATTTTCATTTTCTTAATAAATGTTTAACTAATAATAAAATAATTGACCAAAGAGAACACCCATTGACTTCTGAGGGTAGAATGGAGACACTGAAAAAAACACACCAATACAACAACTCAGTGGGAGTAAAAGCGTCCGGACGGGTTTACTTGAGAGTTTAGGGGGAGGAAACTATGCGTTCGTTATTCACTTTTTCGTGGTTCATGAGTATTATTTTTTAAAATATCCCCATTTCAGTAAGTAAATGATACGCCACTGGTCAAAACCTAAGTGACAAACTGTGATGACTCAACATGTTCTCACAATATTTCCACCCTAATGCAGTATTACTATCAGGAATCAATGGGGCGATTTTATGGCTGCTTCGCTCCAAAAACGTCTGATAGTTTTCTCAACTTCGTCTAATTCTCAACAACTCGGTCTTTTTTCACCTTTGTTTCAAAAATCACTGCGGATTTTTCGTTTTTGGGGAATTCCGATTTGCACGAAGGTGACATTGACGAAATCTGTCAATTTTATTCAACATTGCGTTGGACTGAAAATTACGTGTGTTTTCCCTTAGTGGAAAGTCTGAGTGCTGATCATCCTATATGGAACACACTTTATATGTACTTTTACACATTCTTGATTGTCATCGTCATTGACTTTATACCAGTAGCTTATTTTTGAAAATTTGATGCGATGCTATAGTTATTCCAGTTTTCTTAACATTTTTTCAGAGGTTGACAAAAAACTCGCAATCGGATTATTTTTAAAATCTGTGTTACAATATATTATCTCTTATATCAATTAAATTAAAATTTAGTTTACCCGCTGTTCATAAAAAAATCTAAAACATTGAAAATTTCAAACATAGATATTTCAGTTTTTTCAAATACAATACCCTGTATTTTATCACTGCATCTTACTCTATTTTTATTTTCTTTCTTTCGAAATGTTGGTGTGTTTTAAAAAAATTAAAAATGGCAAAAAATAACTTTCTATCTTTCTACTTGAAAAAACTGAAACATCGATATTTGACAATTGTAACCTTTTTGATTTTTCTAAAAATTCTGTGTCTATTAAAACTCAAAAATAACTTTATTGCGATTTCCTTTGTAAACCACTGCATTGCTAAAAAAATTGGTGGAAAATTATTTCAACAGAACTTCCCCCGCTTCTGAAGTAGTCCAACAAATACGGCTTCTCTGAAAAATTATAAAATTTGATTTTGGGGAATTTTACTTTTTCGTGATAACCTCTATGGACTAAAAACAATATAGAAAGTACTAGTCACAGTGTAATAGAAAAAAAGTTTCACCTCTTAAAAAAAGACAGTTGGCAGCCCCGAGAAGAATTAATATTCTTAAAAAAAGACATTTGGCGCCCCCGAGAAGGTGTTACATTTAAAAAAAAGACAGTTGAGACCCCCGAGAAGGTTTTACATAAAAAAAAGACATTTGACGCTCCCGAGAAGGTTTTACATTTTTAAAAAGGACAGTTGGGACTCCCGAGAACCGTTTACATTCTTAAAAAAAAAAGACATTTGGAGCCCCGAGAAGGTTTCACATTCATAAAAAAATACATTTGGGCTCCCCGAGAATGTTTTACATTTAAAAAAAAAACGACAGTTGGGACCCTCGAGAAGGTTTCACATAAAAAAAGTTATTTGGCGCCCCCGAGGTTTTACATTAAAAAACGAGAAAACGTAAAAGTAGAGAGTCGGCCGAGGGACTCGATTACAATACTTCCTTTGCTTACGCTCGGGAAGTAAAAAGACAGTTAGGACTCCCGAGAGGGTTTCACATTCTTAAAAAAATACTTTTGGGGCCCCCGAGAAGGTTTCACATTCTTAAAAAGACATTTGGGACCCCGAGAAGATTTCACATTCTTAAAAAAATACATTTGGGCTCCCCGAGAAGGTTTTACATTTAAAAAAAAACGACAGTTGGGACCCTCGAGAAGGTTTCACATAAAAAAAGTTATTTGGCGCCCCCGTGGTTTTACATTAAAAACAAGACAGTTAGGACTCCCGAGAAAGTTTCACATTCATAAAAAAATACTTTTGGGGCCCCCCAGAAAGTTTTCACATTCTCAAAAAGACATTTGGGACCCCGAGAAGATTTCACATTCTTAAAAAAATACATTTGGGCTCCCCGAGAAGGTTTTTCATTTTAAAAAAAGACAGCAGGGACTTCGGAGAAGGGTTTACATTCTTAAGAAAAAAGACATTTAGGGCCCCGAGAAGGTTTTACATTTTTAAAAAAGACAGTTGGGACCCCCGGGAAGGTTTCACTTTCTTAAAAAGACATTTAGGCCCCGAGAAGATTTCCCATTGTTAAAAAAATACATTTCGAGTCCCCGAGAAGGTTTTACTTTTTTAAAAATGACAGTTGGGACCCCAGAGAAGGTTTTACATAAAAAAAGACATTTGACGCTCCCGAGAAGGTTTTTCATTTTTAAAAAAGACAGTTGGGACTCCGGAGAAGGGTTTACATTCTTAGGAAAAAAGACGTTTGGGGCCCCGAAAAGGTTTTACATTCTTAAAAAAATACATTTCGGCTCCCCGAGAAGGTTTTACATTTTTAAAAAAGACAGTTGGGACCCCCGAGAAGGTTTCACATAAAAAAAAGTTATTTGGCGCCCCCGAGGTTTTACATTAAAAAAAAGACAGATAGGACTCCCGAGAAGGTTTCACATTCTTAAAAAAAGACATTTTGGGGCCCCGAGAAGATTTCACATTCTTATAAAAATATACATTTGGGGCTCCCGAGAAGGTTTTACATTTTTAAATAGACAGTTGGGACCCCCGAGAAGGTTTCACATAAAAAAAGGCATTTGGCGCCCCCGAGAAGGGTTCATATTCTTAAAAATGACATTTGGCACCCCCGAGAAAGTTTTACATTTTTAAAAAAGACATTTGGCGCCCCCAAGAAGGTTTTACATGTTTAAATAAAGAGAGGCGTATTCTCACCTTATCGAAAAGGTGGGGTAATTTCATCAATAAAAAATTTGTTATGACGTCAGAAACATAGATAATACACAGTGCGAGAGAAAAAGAGAGAAAGAAAGAAAAAAATAACGAAAGGCCTAGTTTGGAATCGAACGCACGACAACCGAGATGCATTACGCCCATGGTAAACTGTTATTATACCATGCATTATGTTTTTGCAAAAATGTGGACGGTTAGGGAAAAACTCAAAGCGGATTCGTACATGACACTATTTCTGATATACGTACAAAAGGAATTTGACAACAATCGGTCCAGCAGTTTCGGAGATTCTGTGTCTAATAGAAAACTCTCGGGAAGTAAAGATTGGAATAACGTGACAGAATTTCAAACATGAAAAATATAAAAAAATATTTCGGGTGTAAGTGTTAGGTTTCAAAAACAGAACACTCTGTATAGTTGAAATTAATTTAGTGTATGATACTCAATGAACCGTACAAGTTTTATTCCGGCCTTTTTTTTGTATTTTCATTAGTTACTGAAATATCGAGGAAGTAATTCACCCTGTATACTCAATACGGAGATAGTTCGAAGATAACTGGAGACACTCGACATTTTTATAGATGAAATACCGAGTGACAATTAAATTCATGATATTTTTTTTGTCAGATTGACAATATATTTAAAAGTTTTTAGTGGCATACATGGTTGTCAAATTGAAATTTTGGGCACCAAGCTAATAGTTATTAGGCGGTCTTATGACAAAATTAACACGGTGACATTTCTGCCAATAATTCAGAATTTCCACCACAAATCGTTGAATGTTACTAGTGCCCTCAATTTTAACATTTAACTAATAATTTTTTGTCATTGGATGTTGACATAATATAAAAAAAAAATGTGTCTAAGGTTGTGAATCGTCAGTGTCATTTTTTACTGTACTAGTTTAATTTTTGTCGTACTATGCACTAAATCTAGTTATTTTGATAAAAGTACTACGCCAATCAATAATTTACTGTCACGTCAAACATTTGAATGTAGTTGAAGCTTGATTGTCATTACGTAGAACATGTCAACATGACATTTAAAAATTAATCTTTGAAAGATGAGTAGGTATGTAGTTAGTAAAACTGACGACTATAAAAAATGAGATTATTCACAACCAATTACTGCTTTAGAACTAATGATAGTGAAGTGACACTAGTGCCCGAATTTATTGATTGGCAGTGTACTGTTGAGGTTATTTTTATTGTACCGGTCATTTAAATTCAGTTGACATTTGTTAAATTTCTACAGCTCAGAAGTCAAATTAATTTTGCTCCTTGTCAAGTTTGTCAATAAGTATCATTGCTGCCACTATAGATTTTTAAGTCCCTATACCATGAGGCCAAGATGTTATGTTTTAATAATTCACAACCTTAATAAACAAATTTTACATTAACTTCTGCTAAAGGTCGTTTCCTTTTCAAAAGTCAACTAACTACCTGTTCCATTCGGTCGCAAAGATGGCGTGCGATTTGACACATCAACAATGTCATTACAATCGTACACAACAGCTTTGGGATGTTCTATATAGCAAGCAGAAAAATATTAGAAGTTCATCAGAAAAAAAAACTTCAAAAATCTGTAGCCCTACAATATAAATCCATAAATCACGAAAAAGGTGGAAAACGCTTGGATTTATTTATTTATAAAGTATAAAGTTAAAAAAAAAAACTATTAATACCAACTGCTGAAAATTTACGGAAGATTAATAAATGTTTTCGAATTTAAAGTTATAATTTTCCTCTGAACTACTCAGGATTTAGATCTTTTAGAAAACGAATTTAATAAAATGGTTATTCAGCCACGATACCTACGAATTCTTGTGCATATTGAATTAATTAACTACAATAGTGGGTGTTGCCTAATTCCCACAATCTGTTTTTTAAGGATTGAAAACGCAACACAAACCCATTTCACTGAAAAGGAATAATAAGGTACATAAAAGCTCTCTATAATAACAAAAGTTATAATTTGCATTTACATAAAATGTAAACGGCCAACATTCCACTAATTTTAATTCACAGAACGCACAATAATATATGAATATAGCTGAACTAACAAAAACTGAATAAATTAAACAATGGATGAAATGACAAAGTACTGAAACCATTGCATTGTCGGCATATTCAGTTTCAAGCGAATTACACAGTCACCGATTTTGATACAGTTAGGGGTGGTATTTTCTAGGAGGGCAATGACATTGGTGTCAAAATCCCCCTCGTCAATGGTGCGAATTTAATAGAACACCAATTACCGGCCAATTATCAGCCAAAATAGGGGTTTCATGTTAACGACTCTCATCTTCTGTGGCAAGATCGAGCGTGACGTCATTCATTTTTTAAATTTAAGCTTTGAAAGTTTGCGCCTGAAATTCTTAATCTTTATCTTACGAATAAAGGTTTAAATTTAATTCTTCAGCAATTATATATTTAAAAGTCCGTACCACACCAACCGAGTACTGACAAAACCCGCCGTGTTTAAACAAAATTAAGTGGTTTTTAATTAACATTTGCGTAGCTATAAGTGAACATTCTTTGTCTCGAGATTTAATTACCTTTTGTTTTAGACTTAACCCAAACAGAATTTTAATCTTTGCGATGATACAATGACAATAAATAATAACGTTAAAAAGTTATAACAATACCAATAAGTCCGTGAGCAGTCGATAATCCTCTATGTTCTTCCTCTCCTGGTCATACCGTGTGACCAGCCCGATCGCCACCCCCGCCGCTGGGGCAGTGATGGGCACACCGGCGTCCATCAAAGCCAAAGTGCCCCCACAAACGCTCGCCATCGAACTAGACCCTACAAATTTACAATTTCAATTTGAAACACCATCAAAGTGAATGTATTTACCGTTCGATTCTAAAACCTCGGACGTCAGTCGAATCGTGAACGGAAAATCATCTGGAATTGACGGTGTTAACCCTTTTTCCGCTAAAGCCCCATGTCCTATTTCCCGCCTCCCAATCGGACCTATCCTTCCTGTTTCTTTCGTCGCGAACGGAGGAAACTCGTAATGGAGGAAAAAATTTTTTTCTTTGACACCACTAAAAAAATATCGTCGTGCGAATCTGATGTTTTTATAAGAGCAGGATGGGATTTCGGGGATTTATACAATGGGGGTATGAAAATGTGAGTTGGCTGGTGTTTAGTTTCCCGTCTGTCGCATCAAGTTATGATATTGTCGAAGGAAGCGGAAGGTTGAGATGACACTTTGAAAGTTTTTTATTGTTTTTCCAATGATAGGGACAAGTAGTTTACTTTGTGAGTTCTTTGTCATCTGGTTTGTGTAAGTTTTTAGAGACACGATGTTTTAAAAACAGGAAACTTTGTTAGGGAAATTGAGTTGGAAAAATGGGCGCTAATAAATGAACGGGGTCCGCTGAAAAATTAAAAAGCCTGAATGGCAATGGAACAATGATAAATCTGATTCGTCGTGACAACGAATTTATAATGCGGAATGGCTGCTATGGCAACAGCCTGACAAGACCGCCTTATTAATTGAAAACTGGTAGCTTCTGAGAGAAGTCTTTAATTATTTACTTTGTAGGATGAAATTTTATTAATTGGGGAATTCGTTATTTCTCTTTTTATGTACATAAGTTCAAATATTTAAAGGTCAACATCTGCCACATCAAAAAAATGATAGCTTGTATTTACCGCTATCTATAGAAATAAATTTTAATTATTTCAGATAAATCAACTGGTTGAACTAATGTCCATGTGGGGAAAATTAACTTATTTATGATTTAATTCTCTAACTTCAGCAACAATTGTGTGTTTAGATTGGCCGGAAACAGTTGCATACTTCACAGCTTTTCACATCAAGATTATCTGTAATGAAGTTATCCTTGTATGAACCTTCAAGTTTAAAATATGACCCAAATTTACTATAATCACATAATTTCAAACTCAGGAATGACTTGATTGTCAACCGTATCAGCTATCTCAATAAGAACTCATTTAATTCGACTGATTAGTGTTATGCTGTAGTATAACCAAAGTTGTTCTTTACAAACTATTTGATGACGTCTTAATTCAAAATTGTACAAGAAAATTTAAAAGTTTATCTAAACATAAAACTGTCGGTTTATTTGCTGAGTGACTATTTTGTCAAACAAAATACATATCAGCAATACGAGATTTAATCATCATTTATCTTCATCCTAAATAAAACAGCCGAACCCACCTCTTTAGCACCAAACTAAATTATATTGGGCGGGAAGTATGATAGATTAAGCATGTTTAACACCCATAAAATACACGCCCACCCAACTCAATTTTAATTTATGATATGGTCTACATATACATACACATACAAAACATTAAATTACAAGAGAGTGCTGTTTGGGACTTTGATTTGATAAAACTATTTTCCTTTCAAAATGAGTCAATAAATTGACTAAAGTCTTTGGTCGGATCTTCCTTGTCAATTGTACACAATATGTACGTCTTTTTTAATTACTTAGCAATATTTTGATATGACGTCATAAAAAATTAGTACGGATAGAGAGGCAAATTTTAATTAGCGTTTAACCATCTACAGGGTGTTATTGAAAGGTACGTACAACAAAATTGACAGTTCTTCGCGAAGTCTAAGAAGTCTGAAAAACTTATTTTGTGTTATCAAAATTGTAAGGGGAAAATTAACCCTTATCCAACTTTTTTAGACGCTACTGAGAGATAAATTAGGTAAAATTAATTTATTTTAGTAAATCCTAGCAACTGCAACAATAAAACTTTTGTCAAGACTAAATGTTGCTATAGAAACGAGAGATGATCTTTTTATCAGAGGCGTACAACGAATTTGGATAGAAATTTTAATAATTTTTATCTCTAAAAGGAGAACACTTTTACCTGAACTTTTTTTAACTTTTAGCACCCATACTTCGAGACCAATTGCCGATTTTATTTTGTACGTACCTTTCAATAACACGCTGTATATATAACTTTTGGGTACGGTAAAATTTCTAAGATCTGTCCAATAAAAACTTCAACAACTCCTGACATAATAAGTTACGGAGATACAATTTTTAGCGCTATTTTGTAATTTGTACCACAGTGGTTAATAATTATGTGATAAGATGCGACAGTGACGGTCAGATAAAAAGAAACTTCCTGCTACCAACACCCACAAATCGCCAACACAAGGTCTAACTCTAACAAAAGATAAAATCTTTACATGGTTTTCAATAATTACATGACAAAAAAAAAAATCGTCTAGTAAACCATGAAATTAATTTTTAAAATAATTATGTTGGCATTACAGTTATTTGACACTTATTCATCAAAACTGTCAAACTAAACAGAGAACTCGTGGTATTGCCAACATAATTTTTTAACACAAAATTTCAAAGGTTGCTAAACGACTTTTTATTCCATAATATGGTCTCTGTTGTTTCCTTACCTAATTAACATGGCCATAGGATCCATCCTCATTGCACTTTCATGGGAATCTAAAGTTACCGTACAAAACACCTGAGTTTGTCCCCTTTGAAACATCGCACTCCCATGCAAAGGTTTATACAAATTAACTTTACACTCAATGTTCCTCAACTCATCATAAAGACGTCCATCACACCTCTTTTCCTCCTCAAAAATTAAATCACGGAAAATCTGCTTAACTATTTTATTGTAAGTTTCATTCAACAAGTTTGGATCAAGATCAGGAAAATTAGCTTTCATTTTCTCCACTACGTCAGTTCTCACGTCTGATAAAGCATTGTCCCTACTCAACTTATCATGAGTGTAATCAGTAAAAATTTTACGTACTCTCATTTCACATAAAGATCTCACAGCCTCATTAACTTCTTCACTAGCTTCAGTCACTGGAACCAACTCCCGTTTTTGTTTACCAAAAGCTTTCTGTAGTGCTTCGATACCACTTATGACATGTTGAGTCTCTTTGGTTCCCAATTTGATTGCCTTTTGTAAGTCTTGTTGGAAAATACTGTTAGCGTTGCCTTCTAACATCACAACCAAGTTACGTTTGGTTGCCGATAAAACTAAATTAAGACTAGACGACTGTAACTCCTTCCGTGTGGGATTAATAATCACCTCGTTATCAATAAACCCCAAGCGAACAGCCCCCACGGGGCCATTCCACGGAATATCACTCAAAGCTAAAGCCGCACTCGCCGCATTAATCGAAATAACGTCAGGATTATTCACACTATCAACAGCCAACATATTACAAACCACCTGAGTATCGTAATTAAAATGTTCTGGAAACAGTGGTCGAAGACTGCGGTCGATCAAACGCGACGTTAATATTTCTCGTTCAGACGGACCTAGTTCGCGTCGGAAAAAATTCGTAGGAATGCGGCCAGCGGCCGCCGATTTTTGTCTGTAATCTACTACCAACGGGAGAAAATTGCTAGGGCTCGCTTTTGTTTTTGATACTGCTGTGACCATCACCGATGTGTCTCCAAGAGTTGCCACCGCACAACCGTCGGCCAGGCGGGCATACTGACCAGTGGAAATCTTCAAGGAGCGCCTGAAATTGTGTTTACACTAAGCGGCTTTAGTAAGAAGTGGAAATTACCCGTTGTTAAAATTAATGTCGACTTCGGGGCTGGTGAGTCTTTCGCTGAAGCACCGGACGGTGTTTAGATTGTGTTTTAATTTGGCAGTGCGTTTGAGGGGGTTTTTTCGGGTTATTAAAAACATTTTGGGAGATAACCTCAAATTGGGAGCGTGATAACCTCACTTTTCGGAAGAGGACAGTTGAGAGCTGTACCCCCTAAGCTAAACAGTACCGGATTAACAGTGAAAACCTAGAAAATTAAAATAACTAGAAAACGGGGAAGTTGCTAAAGCAGAAAGACTCAAACTTTGGGTCCTTATTATTCGTGTTTTTATAATCGTAATGAGAATCTAATTTCTTTAGTTTTACATCATTTTATTGCCACTTCCATATTTTCTCGACGTGTCATGACCTCTAGAGTACGAAAAAAATGATCTCCCGTTTCCGTCTGTCTGTCTGTTTGTTTGCCTGTCTGTCGTTCTGGTGTCTGTATCCATTTTTATTAGACAAGTAATTTCCGAAACTACTGGATCGTTTGTTGTCAAATTTTGTATGTATATGTATTATGAATATCATGTAAATGGTTAATTAAAATTTGGCTAATCATCCCCACCACCAATGGGATGACGTCATCTTTAAAATTGATAATAAAATTTTTTTTTTAATTCTACAAATTAAGATACGTCTGCACTTGTGCTGTGTGAATCCGTGTGGAATTTTCACCCTAGACTTCCAGAATTTTTGGAAAAAATTCAAAACTGAATAACACCATTTTGCAATATAACTTTGTAACTGCAAAACCGATTGCTATGAATTCTTGTAAATATTTTAAGGTTATCGCAATAATGGTAAATCGTTAAGCAAGATTTATTCGGATAGCCCCTCCCAAAAAATTAATGACGTTATCTCAAAATGTTGCCGAATAAATCCTATCCAACATGTATAAAATATCTACACTTGTCATTTATTTTTTATATTTATTGCACTAAAAGTTTTTAAATTTCTTATACAGGGTGACTCATAGAAACTAATGAATGAGTCAATTTATTTTATTGATTAAATCGGAAACAACTCACTCCATTTTCCCGAAAATTGACGTTTCATGACCCCTAGGATACGAAAACATAGGTCTCTTGTTTCCGTTGTTTGTGTCAATTTTTGTATGTATATTAGGAATATCGTGTAGATGGTAAAACCTTAACCCAAATTTGTCTGATAAAAATCGACGACGCCATCCTACAATTTTGGTGAATAAATGTAAAATCTCCACAATGTTAATTCTAGAAATTACAGAAATTCTAAAATTCTGACCGAATTTGTGGAAAGATTCCAAATGTTGTGAAAGTCCCAAATAATCCTTTCGAAGGTTTTAAGGCTTTCAAGTATACCAAAAACTCTAAGGACTACAAGGATTTCAGGAATTTAAAAAAAATTTAAAAAACTAGAGAGGCCGGCAATTTAAAAATTCTAAAGAGATTTCAGGGATTTCAAAAAATCCGAACATTCCACAGATTCCAAATATCTAAAAATTGGAAAAATGATAAAAATCCTAAAGATCTAAAGATATTTAAAATTTTAGAAATACTGAAGTATCTAAAAATAATGAAAATGTCAAAGCTCTAAAGATTCCAAAGTTTCCAGTGCAGTGGTTTGAAAGATTCAAAAAGTATAAAAGCTTTCACGGATTACATACACTAGAAATTACGAATTGTAAAGACATTTAAGATTCTAAATATACTTACTAAATGTTTGTATTGATGAGGCTGATACGTGTTTAAACTCCATATTAATTTTAGTAATAATGAAAAAACTTTCAGAGTTTAAATAATATATTTGTAGTCACTGCTACACGTGTTTCGGTACACAGTACCGTCTTCAGGCAGAAGTGAAACCCAGTTTCTCTCTGAAAGTTTTTTCATTATTATTAAAAAAAAAAAAACTTACTAAAGTTATAATGTTCTAAATATAAAAAAGATCCAACAAAATCTTAAAAAATTTAACGAACCTAAAAATTGCAGAAATTTTAGGCTTCATAAAACTCCTAGTAATTTCCAAAGTGTTCAAATTTCCATAGATTCGAAAGGCTCTAAATGGTCTAAAGACTCTAAGGGGTCAAATGGTAAAATTTTGTTTCGAATACTTGAAAGATTCTAAAGGTTCTAGGGAAATTCCAAAAAACCAAAGATTCTAAAACTTCTAAAAATAGCGTGAACTCTTAAAATGCCAAAGATTTTAAAAGTTCCAAAGACTTAAAAAAACAAAAATCATAAAGACCTAAAAATCGTAAAGATCTAAAAAATGCTTTCTTTAATTTGTATAATTACTAAAAGCACTAAAAGCCTTGAAGACCCTAATTATTATCTTATAAATCTTGGAGACCGTAAAGATTCCAAAGATTCCAAAAATTCTTGAGATCTATAAGTTTTATAAAATCTGAAAAATTTAGGAAGTGTGGGAAAAATGTGGTAGAAAATATTGGAAAAGGTTAAATTTCTGTTATAACTGGAGCCTGATAATTTTAGAAATTTTGGAACATGTGGAAATTCTGATCATTTTGTGTACTTCGGAAAATCTGAAAAATCGGGCTAATCTGGTAAATCTGAACATTCTGGAAATTGTGAAAATTTTGCAAATTACAAAAATTCCCAAAAATTAAAGGAAAATTTAAAAAATCCTAAAATTTCAACATTTCACACAATCTTAAGTTTGCAGATATTCTACAAATTCCAAAGTTTCCAAATGTTTGAAATATTTAAAATGTTTCAAAAATTCTATAGACTCTACACATTTTAAAAATCTTAAAATTTTCATACACTAGAATTTGCGAATTGTAAAGACACCAAAGATGCGAAATAAACTAAAGTTTTAAGTTCTAAATAGAAACATCCAACAAAATCTTAAAAATTCTAAAGATCTTGGAAGCATTAGTGTTGCTAGAAATTATAAAAATTCGAGACTTTATAAATTTTCTAGTAATTCTGAGTATCCAAAATTTCCAAAGATTGTTAAGTTAAAACTCTAAAGACTCTGAAAACTGTAAAGATAGAAAGACTCTAAGGACTCAAACGCTAAAAAGGTTTTTAAAATTATGTTTCCAAATATTTAAAAGATTCTATAATTAATAAAAACGCATGAACTCTTAACATGACAAAACTTTTAAAGATTCCAAAGACTCTATACAAAACAAAAATCCTAAAAATCAAAAAATCGTAAAGATCTGAAGAATGCTTTCTTTAATTTTTATAAATCCTACAAGTATTAGTGGTCTTGAACACCCTCATTATTATCTTATATATCTCAGAGATTCTAAAGATTTCAGAGATTCCCAAAATTTGAAACATTTAAAGACTCTTGGGCTCTATTAATTTTAGAAAATCTGGACATATACAGGGTGTTAGGAAATGCTTGCAACAAACTTTCAGAGCAAAGGCATTACAAAAAAAGGAATCTAAAATCTATGTACAACTTTTTTCAAAAATGTATAGTTTTTCTTTTAAATCCCCTTAAAAATAAGTATCACACCGTTTTGGAACTGCATGGAGGCCAATTTTTAATAATACGTTCCATTATTAAAATTTCCATTGTTACTTAGCAACGAATTAGGAATGGCAATCTGCTTTCTATCTATCAAGGGAATCGTTAAAAAAAAGCATCGTTGCTTAGTTACCGAGATACACTAACATTGTTCAAATTGTTTCAAATATTATTGTTAGATTTATAACTGTCATTGTCAGTAATACTCATTGAGAAAAAATGCCAGAATACAGCATAGAGGAATATGTAGACATGCATTTTGTTTATGGGGAGTGTGGAGGCAATGCTAGAGCTGCAGCAAGATGAATGTCTTCCTGGGCGTCGACAACCGTATCGCGAAACCTTTTCAGCCGTGGATAGAAGGTTGCGGGAGACAGGATCAGTTTTACCTAAAAATCAGGAGATTGAACGAGGTCGAGATCCAGATATGGTCAACATTGAAGAGCACATTATCAATCGTGTTGAAGAAAACCCGTCAGCTAGTACGCGTGAAATTGCTCGAGAAGTAGGTGTTAGTCACTGGACTGTGTGGAGAACGCTACGCAAATCTCTTTTGTACCCGTACCACCTCCAGCGGATCCAGAGTTTAAGTCCGAACGATTTCATTCCTAGACAAAACTTTTGCCGATGGATAGTGAACAGCAATAATGAAACTCCCGGATTTCTTTCTTCCATACTGATGACAGATGAATGCTGTTTTACTAGGGATGGAATACTTAATTTTCATAATACTCACCGCTGGGCAGATGCTAATCCTCACGCAATTTACGAGACCCACTTTCAACAACGTTTTTCATTAAACATTTGGGCCGGAATAATAGGTAATCAAATGATAGGACCATATGTTCTACCGGAAAGACTGAACGGAGACAATTACTTTCATTTTTTGGAAACACATTTGCCATTGTTATTGGAAGATGTACCTTTAGACATTCGACGAAGGATGTACTTTATGCACGATGGTGCTCCTGCGCATTTTAGTTTACAAGTGCGACAATTCCTGACGAATGTTTATGGTGAGAGATGGATTGGAAGAGGTGGACCCATCGCTTGGCCACCCCGTTCTCCCGATCTTAACAGTTGTGATTACTACTTATGGGGTTATATGAAATCAATTGTTTATCGAACTCCAGTTAATAATTTAGAAGATTTAGAAGCAAGAATTATGATGGCCGCAGAACGGATTCGAAACGATCCTGAAGAATTAAATAGAGTCAGTAACTCATTACTCAGGAGAGCAGAAGCTTGTATTCGTGCAAATGGTGCTCACTTCCAACATTTGCTTTAATTTTCTTGTTTTGTTTTTGCGTTTTTTGTTTTTTATTTTCGCTTATTCGTTTTGTTTATTTATTATAATTAAAGGTTATTTTTCTTTGTGTTAAAAATTGTATTTAACAAATTGGCTTAAATTTTAAAATCGTTGGAAGATTTTGAACAAAGTTTTTAATTTATACAATACATTTCTTGTATTTGTTGATAAACTATGTATTCTACCTTTTTCCGCAAAGCAAAAGTAGAATATAAATTTATTAAGAAAAGATAATTGCTGGACAATCGAAAAATAAAAAGATAACGTTGGACGTTGGAGTGCTAAGCAGTGTTTAACACCAATTTTTACCTAATTTTTGAGAATATTTCAACTGCTTAGACTATTTCTAGGATCTTTTTTTATTTCCTAATATTAAAAAAATTCTTAAAAACAAGAACATTTAGTATATGGTTAACCATTAAGGAGTAACAAAGAAAATACCTTAAGCGTTCTATGATTTCAGTACTCTAAGGGTACCTTTTTATTATCAATAATGAAATCACTTCCATTGCAAAGGGGATACTAAACACAGTTTAAAATGAGGGAATTGGCAGGAAACCCGACAGTTATCGTACAAAGGGCAAATGAAAGTGCGTATAAAATGAGTTTTTCTGTCATTTCAGTAGTAAGTGTTCCTTGCTACGGTTCACTTTCGAGTACACGGCTTGCGCCGGGATTGTTTGCTCATCTTGTTCTTGCCCAGGAGCCTCATGTACATTGTATAAGTTCGTATTTTTACCTACAAGCGGCAAATTATTTTGTTGCAATTTTCATAACGAGTGGTATACGAACGATCAACAAGCGGAGTTAGTTGTCCTACATTCCCAACCGTTCCGCTGCTACATTAATGGACCACATTAGGCGAGTGATCAGACCGGACTCGGAAATATGGACCGACGAATTTAAGTCCTACAGACTCCTCCGAATCTTGGGTGGAGCGTCCTCATTTGTTTATCAAACAGTTAACCATAGCCGCTTTTTTCAAGATCGAACAACAGGGGTCTGTACTAATCAAGTCGAAGGGTAGTGAGGAGGATGAAAAGTTTTATCACGAGGTTGGGTGCCATGAGTTGTCCCTTTTTGCCGTAGTATTAGATCAACTGGGAGCGCTATTGCGCTTGAGTTGACGAACTATTTCAACATTTCATTTACCACACTGCTGAAAGATAGATTTTCCTAATCTTTCTAGTGTTTTCCTTCGGGATTTTTTTCAGGGGAAAAACGCAAAACCCCCTCTTTCTGGTATCACTGCAGGTTTTCAGAGGCCGTTTGTGGTGTTTTCTGAAATTTCCGTTAACAACCACGTTGGTACCCTTATTAGCGTGTCGGAACTGCGTCTATTTCGTTAAACGTCCGAATCAAACATTTTAAAACTCAAAGGTGTTTATTGTATTGATGTAAATGTGACATTTTTGTCAATTTTTGACAAATTAGATTTAATCGTTTCTAAGGAAATAATCATCTTAGTTCCAGAATTTTCACAACTACCTTAGAAAAAAAAAGACAACGTCGGCAGTTCTCAAAATGTGGGGACTGATTTTTCGATATGCTTTTTAGAAAAAACTATTAACCTTTGAAAAAAGTGTTACTAGCATTTTTTGTTGTTCTCTTCTTCAGGAGGCTACCTTCAAATTTTGTTGCAAGCATTCCCTAACACCCTGTATAGAAAGTGTGAAAAATCTAGAAGACCAAAAAATCTTAAAACTGAGGAAAATGTTGAATTCTGGCATATCCGAAGACTGATATTTTTATAACATTTAGAAAATCTGGAACTTCCGGAAAAAATTCTAAACATTTTACTGAATTTGTGAATATGTTCCAAATACTGTGAAAGTTTAAAGTCTTCTCTAAATTTCAAAGATTTCGAGGATTCCAAGGGTGCCAAAAGTCCTAAGTAGTGTGTTAATACTAAATTGTTATACGTGCCCTTGCTAATAATGACGTTATCAAAAAAAATTATATGGAAAAACTGACTATGAAGATGAAAAAAAAAGGATTCTCAAAGTTAAAGTTGATAATAATAATTTTTCGAAGTTGTATTTGTTCGACTGTACTTTAGAGGCTAGGGAAGTTCTGTCGAAATAACTTTCAACCAATTTTTTTATAACTGTATGTCTATCGTTAGTTTCCACTTGTTTAGGTACCTCTGTTCAAGTTTCTGCAACCATGCCTGCAACCTGCAGTTTATAGGAACTTTTTACAGAGTAACCAAATTTAATATGTCAGTATGTCACCATGTCGATGTTGATATTTGCTGGTGATGTTTGGTCTACGCATCTAACCCCGTCGAAGTAACGATCGTGGCGTCACTGCTTTTTGACAGATCTCTCTTTCACTCACTTGTCATTATCGTAACAGTTTCCTGTAATTTTCTGTAATCATAAAAACTCTATTTGTTTATTTTTAAAAACTGTGTTTTGTTACACGAATGCTTCGAACATTTTAGTCCATATTTTATGGTTGTAATAATTTATAAAACGGCTCAATGTTTTATAAAATCCAAAAATATTGCTTTTGCTCCAAGCTCGTCGCAAGAGGGAGCTCCATCCACCGCCACCTATCGCCGTTTTCGCGTTCATTTTCTTGGTGACGTGCTGGCAGCCGGTATGTGAGACTCCTCATCCGCTCTTGAAGAACCCAACCTAAACATGGCGTCTGACGGTGACGATATTATAACCGACCAGGAAAAAGTGCGAATAGCGTCCGATTTCATCCTCCATTCGCCCCCCGGTGAATTCAATGAAGTGTTCAACGATGTCCGCAAGCTTCTAAATAACGACGACCTTCTCAAGGAAGGCGCCAGTGGGGCTTTCGCCCAATACAACAAAGATCAACTCACCCCGGTTAAAATCGAAAACGCCGAACACTTGGTGCTAATCACAGAATACAACGACATAGGGAACAACAGGTTCTTTGACCCAAGAAGTAGGCAGAGCTTCAAGTATGACCACCTTAGAAAGGAGGCTTCGGACTACCAATCATACACGCCGGACCCCCAAGCGGAGCCCTGGCGCACCGCGCTGGATGCGGAGTTTATTCAGTACACCAAGAACCATTACAAGGTAAGGCGACAAGGGCCAGAATTCGATTTCTATTGGCAAAAAATGGTGATTTAAGGATTGCAAGGGTTAATGACTTGGGTTGACAGTGCGCCAAGGATGCATTGACATGCATTTCAATGCAGTCTAGTGAAGGTATGGTCAAAGTTTTCGATGAGTAATGGTAAATGTCAAAAGTGACGTAAATGACGTTTTAGCAATGACAGCACAACCTACCTTGATGCAGTGTTTTTTCACAAGTAAATCATTTAATTTATTGTTTAAAGGTCTGTGTAAGGTTTGCAGTCGTTGCTTTATAAATATTAAGAAGTCCTATTTTTTTTATAAATGTAATAAATTATTTCATAATTTGATAACGTAGACTGAAGCTATGATGAAACTTTCGTGCTAATATGAAATCATGCTTTTTTCAAATTTGCGGTAAAAGCTAACCTCAATTATATCATTATTAATTTTACAACCCATACTAATAGTACTACGCGCATCACGTCCTCAATACATATGCAGAAAGAACGGTTCGTTAGATAATTTTTGATAATTTCATGCACTAACCTAAAATATTTAGTTGCAGATAGTGCTATGTTCACTCATTTACAACTTATTTACTCATAAAACAGTAACTAGTGATACAAAATAAACAGTTAAAGCGTATGATCACATCAGTTTTATATAAGATAAGAAAGTGATGTAACTGTCATTTCAGGAAAATGGCATTTCAGACTTTTTTTTCTAAAGACAGTTTTAAGCCACAAATACGGTGTCTAAAAGCTATTGCGCTGCCAACGCCTGTTACTTCAAGCTTCATCGTTAATTTTAAAAAAGACTTAACGTAAAACAGTCCTCTAGCAACATTTGAAATTTGATATTAAAAACATTGTGTTTGACAAAATCATTATTTTAAAAATAAATTTCATGGCATACTAGAGCACTTTTTTATATGCCATGACGTCATAATGACATCCAACCAATTTAAGATGTTTGAATGATTGAATTTATTTTATTACAAGTTTTACACTCGTGTCAATATATCAGACGTAATTTTATAATACATAATTTATACATATATCTAATCAAATCAAAATTAGACAAATTCTTTATTATATCGCAGAAATTCCACTTCTCTAATTTAGTGATCAAATCACTTTGACGTGACGTTGGAATCATGCCACGACAATAATAAAATACGTAGTGGCAATGGACGTTGCGTTACACCCAGTTAATATCATTATTAACGCAGCATGAGCTACATAATTTTTATGAGCCTAATTGAAACACGACAATTTTCACCGAGGACGCACAATTTGATTAAATTTTTGTAATCGCAGTTTTATTATACGCTGCAAATAAAACAGAATTCATTAACTCCTAGTTTACAGCCTGCAAATCTCCTAATTTCCATTTAATAAAGACGACGTAGTCAAAACTGAAACTGACAGAGTAATAAAAGGAGATCTAACGCATCGAATTTACATTTTATTGGAGCTGTTACTGCACCAGTGCCTAACGCATCCACACCGATGCGGCGTATTTATAGATCTGTGACATGGAGATGGTTATTTGCGTATGCTAACATTCTCGGTATATGCGAAAGGGCTCTTCATTCTAAAGTTTAATTTGTTGCTCATAGTACACAAGTTAGACACTGCATTACTTCGAAGTGGTTTTGCTTGTTGAAAGCTCGGGGGTCAGATACAATGCCACTAATGGAGTTGTCAAGTTCGCATAGTTCAAGAAAATGACCGCTCACAGATCAGATCTAGATAATTGTTTCAAAGGATTTTCGTTAAGTTTTTTTTTTTCACTCTCAAGTTATCTTACGCGTTAAGTGAATAAATTCGAGATTTTGCAATGTAATCAGATGTTCGATAGGAAAGTATAAATATTTGATTCAAGTGATAATTGATTGATAATTTTAGAAACAAATGGAATATCTAGATGTTGTAAAGCTCTCAAAACTGCTTGTTCTGATTAGCGATTTGTCACCATAAAGTAAACAGAAAAGGCAGTCATGACTTCAATTTATTGCATTTTTATAGGGTATGTTCTAGGAAATATCAGGCAACAATTCTCAAGTTCCAATTCGATGTGGTTCACTCATGTGACGTGTCGCTTCTTATCGATTACATTTCAAAGACAAGCACTTTGAAGCGTCGCCCAACGTGACTTAATTTAATTTATTTAATTTTAAAAAAACATTTGCAACATAATACAACAGAGAAGCCTGGAGCACAAAGCGGAGACTTTATTTTCAATTCAACAAAAACCCTGATAATACTTAACACGATTGTATTTTTTTGGGGAGCCGTAAACCGTTTGTGGAATAAATTTGTGCGTCATTGATTCAGAGTCACATTATTTCTCGCTTCTGTAATCTCGGGTAGGGTTAACACCTCTTGCTTATTTTCGGGGATAGATTACAAAAAGCCAACACGAATAAATCTATTGACTTCCAGAACACTAAATTTACACAATGAAAGTCTAAAAAGAAATTATTTAAATCCGAAAAAGTTGCGTTATTTTGTTGATCTGTTCTTTGTTTTCGGTGTTATTCCCGAAATTACTGTATACTTTAAGGCTAACGTGTATATGGTTAAATACCAACCAAAATTTGTTCGTTCATCTTCAACATTTTGATGACGTCATCTCAATTTTTTTAAGATTGTTGATGTTTAAATCTTAAACAGTAAAATGCTTTATATTTAGTTCATTACTCGGCTTTTATTTTTACCGTAGAAATTACTGAATCAATTGCTCTGAAATTTGGCACATGCTTTGAGTTAATCGTCAACGTGATATTTCGCTAAGCAGTATTTGCATTTTTATCCCTATTAAAATTTAGATGTCGTGACCTTAAAAGTTTGCTATATAAATACATTTCTCCGAATATCAATCTTGCAAATAACGTGTTCCGCGTAGCGGAGTTAAGACCATCTTTTGAAATATGTCGGACAACTTTGCCGAATATAATTATTCTCATGTGAGGTGTGGCAAAAGGATTATCAAAATTTATGGACCACTATGTCAATTAGCTTTCCGTACCGCTAACAACATGGATTAATTAATCGAAATGTTTATAAAAATAAGTTTCTTCAAGTGAGGGCGTTTGTCTTTTTTAATAAATCGGACACCAAAGTTTAGATAAAGTTCGACAAAAGATACCACTTTGACTTCATAAAATTCAATAAATATTAGCAAAATGTCACATTATTATTTTTGTTACTTTTACAGTCTTTCCAGGCAACCGATTTATTGTAGCCCACTATGTTGCACGCGTAAAAATTATCGCAAGTTGAGTGGCTATTAGACCATATCTTTCGTCGAACTTTACTACGTTCAACGCTAAAGTTCCATTTATTTTGGCCTCACTAAGATCAAGTACTTCGAACCTACCCGTTGGTCTCTTTGCCGATGACACAAAAGGGATGTTTACTTACAATCAGATTTTTCTGTTTTATTCTGTATAACAAAAAAATCTGACATGTATCAAATCACGCCCCAGAGAGTGAGAAAAGTAATGTTTAAACTGTTTTAATCAATTTTTACTTCTCGATCGTAAACTAAGGAAGTATAGCAATAGGATCTACTCGGCGAATGGCTCCTTTCATGTTTTCTCAACGATTCTGAACCAATAGAGTATGAAAAAGAAGCCCCCCGTTTCCATTTGTCTGTCTATGTCGATTTTTATTAGACAAATATTCTCCGAAACTACGCACAGTTTTTTGTCAAATTTTAGATGTAGATTTTTTAGGAATATCGTGTAGAAAACGCTAGCCTAAATTTGTTCAATCTTCCCACCAACAATTCGATATTCTCCTGTACATGGTTTAAATTGAATTTATCACTATTACTTAACAATTTTTGTGCAATATTTTCCGCGTTTCCCATCTTTATCGAATGTTCTTTTTACATTGATCGGCATTTGCCATATTTTTACTTCCCGGGCGTAAGCGACCGGCTACTTTCATGTTTTCTCGACGTTTCAAGACCCCAAGAACTTTAAAAAATAGGTTTTCCGTTAGCGATTGTCTGTCGTCCGTCTTTCTGTCTGTTAAGGCTATATCAATTTGATAAAATGATATAGTATTGTACTAATGGTTTATGAATCTTGCCCTTTAGACACATAGTACGAACTTCAGTAAGCGAAATCGTAGTCTAGTGGTGGCGCGCTTACTTCGCAGATGAGAGGTTTTGGGATCAATGCCGGCGGCCCTCATTTTTTTTTATTGATCAAATCACGAATGGTTGATCCTATTTTTTATTTTTCACTTGCAGAGCTGTCGTAAAATAAGATTTTCCAAAATCAAATTTTATAATTTTTCGAAAAAAATGCATTTGTTGTATTTGACGGGCCGGGGAAGTTCTGTCTAAGTAATTTTTATGTTTGTAAAAGTATATCAGGGGAATTTGAAGTATATGTAATAATAAATATGTAGACATCGTGCACTCTAAGATCGACACAGTGAACTTTTGTAACGTAAGGGTACCTGTTTAGAGTAGTGCCTACTAGTTTCATTCGCATTCATGCTAGCGTGTTGACCAATTCACTTAAGTTTATGTTTCTCTGTGTTATTGTTTGCAATTAAAAAAAAAATGTTTAAAAAACCAGCCTCTTCTGAAATGTGCATGTTATGCTGCTGACTGACAGTTCGTTGTCAGATTCTGATGACTCACCATGTTGAACTTAAAATGATCCATCTCTATGTACACAAAAATATTTCAAGTAAATCTACTACTGTTTAAAATGTTTGTATGGAGATTAACCTTTCGTTTATCTGAAAATGACTAAGAAGTGAAATATTCGATTTTTTTATATTTGTTTGCTAATAAAATTCTGATTACTATGAATAACTCTCACTGTGCCTTTATTTCTTAGACGTAATATATTTATTTTATTTATTCTCTAAATAAAAAGATTGGCAGATAAAATATATTTTGAAACAACCTGGACTCAATCATACCTATTTTAGTTTCACCAGAGAAGAATTTAGTTTTTTGAATAACACTGTGTTTTAAAAGCATATTACTATTATTACTATTTCTTGAGAGAGAGGTTAAATTAATTTAGTAGATTCTCTATTGCCAAATTAATTTCCTAACGAGTAGAAGTTCTGAAGGAATTTTGATCAGTTCGAGATCAGTTTAGATGAGACATCCTCTGCGCTTAAATTTTTAATTACAGTAATTCTTCCATTTCAGGAGAACAGAATAATTTAACACTTTTTACGTCTCGAGCGTAAGCAAATTATACTAATAAAATATTATAAAATACAAAGAATTGTAAAAATTCGTATTCATCTCCATCAAAAATCTGGTGATATCTGAAAATTTTGCTAAATAAATCCTATTTCAAAAGTGCCAAATGAATGCTTCTGTGAATAAAAACAATATAAATAATACTAGTCACAGTGTAAGAAGAAAAGAAAGGTCCATGGTGGAATCGAACAGGTGTTCCAATCTCGAGATCATATGTACCAAGAAACGCTCAGGCAAAGACGAAATTGTATTTTTGTAATAACCAAATTTTAAAAAAAAAAACTTCCAGGGCTTGATGCTCCAGCATCACAAGCATCCCTATCTGGCTGGACGCCTTACAAGTACGGACAATGTAAAATATACATATTTACAGCAGATAACCAACGGGAAAAAATAGCCTTTCAGCAACATACGTAACTTAAAGTGTACATGTTTGTACATCAGTAGATCACATAAAAATGTCGAGTTTCTTGCCTCAAAACAAGAGGACTAAATTATTAATAAGCGTCAATCGAACAAAATGTTTTGAGTGTTATTATTATTATATTTCTTATTTTATCATTATGTTATTATTATAAAGACGTGCGTATTCTCACATTTTCGAGAAAATAGGGTGACTCGTTCTTAATTTAATCAATAAAAAACGAGATAGTGGTTAAGTTTATTAAATTTGTTTTATCTAATGAAAAAAAAGAAATGTCCCGCCCGCTAGTTTCATCCCGTCGACCAAGGGTCTGTAAAGCAGAAACTTTCCCACTGAGCTACGCCAGTTGTAACAAGGTTGCGTCTTATGTTGGTAAAGAATAACGTGAATTAAACAACTTAAAACAAACGTAGTAATAATAAACAAAACAAGATAAGATTCGTAAACCACAAATACAAAAGTATATTATTTCATACAAAATCGGTAATGTTAATTATACAATATAATGAGCCGACGCCATCAAATTATTCTTAATATGCATACAAAATTTGATAACAATCGGTCTAGTAATTTCGGAGTTTATCTGAATAATAAAGATCGCGACAGACGGACGGACCAAAACAGGAAACTACTTTTTCGTACTCTAGAGGTCATAAAACGTCGAGAAAACATGAAAGTGGCCAGTCGCCCGATAGACTTAATTAGAGTACTTCCTTAGAAGAATGCTTACACTCAGGAAGTAATAGAATTTGTAGAATTAAATTTTTATAGACCAATTTTTTTTACCATGTTTTACCAATCTTGAAATTTGATTTAACGGACAAATTTAAGAAAAAAATATGTAAATGGGGAATTGAACCTAAATTTTCTGCACACATTGCTGGTTACATTGTAGGAGTACAATGAATGCGGTAGTTAACAAAATGCGTGGAATGTATGACCTTCACTGGTATTTGTGTAGGCCTTCGATCACACATTTTTATGTGTTAATTCACAAAAACACATTACTTATCTAAAAGATACTCTGTATAACGAAATTGCTCCTTGAAATTTTTTTCCTTACTTAAGTAGAGACTTATCGGTCTGTATAATCAAATTAACAAATTGAATTGTTTTCAAGGACGGCGTCTGCAGCGTGTTCGGTCGCAGTCAGCCCGGTAGTCCCATCACCTTGACCGCCTGCATCGAGGACCACCAATTCCAACCGAAGAACTTCTGGAACGGCCGGTGGCGATCCCAATGGGCAATAACCCTGAACGGGTCGACGGCCGAAGTCCGAGGCATCCTCAAGGTGCAAGTTCACTACTACGAAGAGGGCAATGTTCAGTTGGTCAGCTCTAAAGAAATCAAAGAGACGGTGTCGGTATCGAACGAGGTGCAGACGGCAAAGGAGATCGTTCAGCTGATCGAGAACGCCGAAAACCTGTACCAAACCGCCATCTCCGACAACTACCAGACGATGTCTGACACCACCTTCAAGGCCCTGAGGAGACTGCTGCCGGTGACACGCACGAAGATAGAGTGGAACAAGATCGTGTCATATAGTATCGGTAAAGAACTGAAAACGCAATGATCCGGTGGACGGAGTGTAACGAGATCGAACAGAGCGGCTACCTTGCGCCTTCTTGTTATCGCTTAGGAGTGTTGTGTACATACGGCCAGATCTTGTTAAGTTTATGACGAGGCAGGGATAGCCAGACTTCTATTAGTCTAATAACCACTTCTGCATTTGACTACGTAGCGATTATTTCTGGTTCACGTGGCGAAGCCCCGGTTTTAGTTGTCTTCGTACCGTTTCCGTATTGAGTCAATTATACTACACTTAGATCAAAGAACCTATTTTCTAATGTTTTTACGAGTATTAATAGGATTAATTTACGTCTATCCCTGTTACGGAATGTGCAATATGCTCAGCACAGGAACCGTCGCTTACTTTTAGTTATCGGCTTTATTTTCTATATTATTCTAAATAACTAATTAATTCCTAATTTTACGATAATGTATTGTCTTCTTTATTCAAGGAAAGATTGGATTTTTATTTGTTATTTTGTATGTTGTACTATAGGGATTTTCCATCTGTGTGACGAATAGGATTGGTCTATAAGTCGCTAAATTGCTGCCCTTAAAGATGAAAATAATTTATATCTTGTTAGAGTCAACCGTTGTATGGGTTATTTTTAAATAAAAAATATTGTAAGTAGAAAATTGTTTCAAGGGGAGAGAGAGGGAGTTCTTATCTTTGATAAGCGTGTTTGCATTTGAAAATTATCATTATATTTTATTAGGAAATTGATATCAAATAATCAATGATGAAACGCTGGCACCTACATTAGGTGATTAACTTATTTGTTCAAGATCTTATCTTTGTTTTCGCTTTTCATTTCAGAGAAACAAATTCAATAAATTTTATTCCTTATTGGGTTTTCCTTTTATTCTGATTGTTCACACTTCAAAAAAGATAAAAGTGCTAACACAATGTATACTCATCTCTGCACTTTAAATTTCGAAAAAAATTGTACACAAGCAAATTGTATGTTTGTGGTCAGAAATTTTTTCTGAAATTTCATGTGTTGGTGGTGTCAGTAATTTAAACCACAAAGCACATTGACAAATATTTAATATTAGCAGTTCTGGAAATTACTACATACAAAAAAATGTATTCTTCAGGGAACACATCTCGAAACAATCCAGAGATAATTTATTAATATTTTCATAGATTTAAGTCATCAATCATGCAGTAGCTGAAAACTTGGTCATAGACTGCACGTTACTCATTTGCGTGTATAACTGGTTGTCTACACGCATTTAGTATGATTTAAAATCATTTGTTGAAATGAACAGCACAATTCAAGTTATCGGATCAAGCATTAAGCCCTTGAAGAGGCTCTAATAAAGGAGCAAAACGTTGACTTAAAAACAAACACCTATTCTGGGGCCCACTCCTTGGAGAATGAATAATATTTACAATTTACAGGACGTTCAATCAAAATCAGGTGGTCCCGGGAAACTCTCGGAATATTTCGAGGACACATTTTCAAATTCAAGTCGTAAGGAATTATTAATTCTGTAGGAAAATATTAAACCTGAAACGTACTATTATACCTGTAAGCAAATATGAAAGCTGTCCTGTTTTTCGACTCCACGAGGACATTAATTTAACAAATAATAATTTTCAAGGTCTTTCTCTCCAAAGAGACCTATATTTTAGATTAGTTTAAATGAACACAAATGAACTATTAATAATCTCAAGCGAGAAGAAAGAAGTATGAATTGTAGAGAATGTAATATCTAAGATACAAACGTCCAACATCGTGAATTAAAAATGTTTGATTCTGAATAAGTGAATTTTCTTCACGTGTTTTTTATGAACATCTACGTTATTGCTAATTTCACTTAGAATCACGAACCGTTAAAAATCGTTATTTTTACAAACTATAAAAGAAAAATAACACGTGCTGATGGGATCGTCAAAGTTTTACATATTTCAGATTAAAAATTCGCTGATTAACTGGTCCTACAGTACTTCCATCAGTTGAAGGGGACAGTGACGTCGAATACTATTTATTTTGTTTAAACAATTGCCCTTTTTATAAAATTACAAACTAAATTTAAACTACTGTGGTTATCGAATTTGAATTAAAATTTCGCACTGAAAAAAATTAACAGCGGCTCGCATTTGAATCATTTGAATTTAAAAAAAAAATCAATCCAGAAAATCGTTAAACATAGGCAACCATGTGCACGTTTAGTTCTTTTTGGGTAGTCGGTAGCTCTCCTAGGGAATTTTCTATTGAGAGAGTTGGTAGAAGTTGATTTGGTGGCTAGAGGGGCGAGAGGCGTCACTTTTGGTTTGGTTGTTGTGAGCTATGTTAAGTTTAGAGTTGGTTTGGTAGTTAATAAAAGGGAGGAAGCCCTTATTTAACGAAAATTAATCGTAACGACGATGACGCGACGGTTTTCCCAACACGCATAACTAATTCTTGCAGTTTTTCCAAGCGGAAACATGCGAATTTTCGACCGACGCTAACACGTGATATAAATTTGTTTTATTTTTTGTAAATTCACAGTTCATGTTAGGATTTTAATCGTTAACTAGTTCTAACATCATTTAACAGTCTTGAGATTTGTTCAGATAACCTACTTGCTAGGAAATTTCATGAGATTCACTTAGTCAGGTGTCATCCTTTGTTTACCAAATTATGAATAAGGTTTCTGGATACTTATACTTAAGTGTTACATTACAACACTTCTTAATTCTTCACACAAGATTGCTAATAGTTCATTTAAGGCAGTTAAACTTAACCTAACGTTGTCCCACTGGGAAAAGACCGTGGAAAGTGCAGTAGAATTCATAATATCGTGCACTGAGGTACGAGGGGATTAAAAATTTCTCCCCTTAAGCAGTTATTATCATCATATCATCATGACATCACCGAGACATTTTCTCCCAACGTGGAAAATTACATCACCGAGAAGCTTTTCTCGCCACGCCTGATATATGTATTGTGTTGTTTGTTTATCATGTGTTTGTTTGGGATAAGCTGAGGACAGTCCACGGTATAAACTCTCAAAGCTAATGGTTTTAAGTAACCAGTCACTTGGATCAAGGCATCATTTATCATAATGTAAATTCTTTGTTTGAATCGCTGATAAAGTGTGGCATAATTTAACATCAGGTAAATTATTTGTTCTGGCAGCGGCTATGGGAAAGCGTATTTTCAAACCAAGAACATGTTTGAACTGTAAAATCTTATTGAACAAATAAACAACATTGTGGGTAATGGGGGACGTGGATTTTATTTCTTTGATTTAGACTATTATTTGCACGACGCCACAGGATTGATCGCATTTCTAGGAGACATATTTTTGACGCATTTTTTTTTAACGACGCATTCATCCGATGCCATTTTGAACCTCTAGATTGCCGCTATGTTTTTTGTGTTTGTTAGGGGGTAAACGATGGCGCACAATGCAGCTGGATAACTTCACTTTTTAAAATTAACCGATAACTCGAAAGGGCATAAAATATTAAACTCAATAATTTTGTTAGCTTTGGAATTTTTCACGTTAGGATACAATTTTTCTCTATCTTACAATTTTAGCCTCAGCGATCTTCTTTGTTGTAAAATTTAAATTGAACGTAAATTTTCATACTCTGCAGTTCCTAACCTCACATAACTTTTTGTCCGCACAAGTTTTATTTCACACCAGATCTTTTTTGCTTTTATAAATCTTTGCTAGTTTTTTTTCATGTAAATATTTTGTTGATTATTGCTTCCGTCATATGAATTGTCTGATGTCCAATCTTAATCTCAGATAAGAATTCTTTGCTGTTTAAATAATTTCACGAGAGTGTATGGCGAATTCAAATGTTTATTGCTCTTTTTAAAACTTTAATACTTGTTCGACTGTAATTGATATCAGAGTTATGGAAATTGAACATTTAAATGGAATTGAGGTAAATAACACAATAACACGTGGTAGAAGCGGAGTGCGCGGTTGCTTGTCGAGCTGGCGGTCGCGCCATCTACACAAAGGATGCAGGCCTATAATCGAAGCCAGGGACGGTCGGGATGACGTGACGCTGTCGACTTGGCCCAATAGTCGAGACCCAATCACCAGTTTGCGACCATAACGGCCTGCTCGTTTAGGCACGTTTCTTCGTGATAGAGGGGAGCTGGGCGGCAGTGCTTGCGATAGAATAGAATCACCGTCGTGGGTAGGAGAACAGCCACGACCAGGAACCCCAAACTCCGCTCGTGCTACAACGCCCCCTATGGGTAATTTTGCTGTGCTCTAGAATGAAATTGAGATGGTTCGATCGTCACACTCTTATACTGCTCTGGTGCCGCTGCCGCTGCATAGTTTTTTATTAAAATGTTGTTCCCTTGTTGACTGCCATAATTTTAAATTTACGGCCAGACGTCCATAATAACTTGTGTATTTGCATCCTGTTACTTTACTTCAGATTTTTTCTTTGTTTTGTTAAATTTGTGATATTCAGATATTTGCATTCAGAACGTTTAATTTAATTTTTCGTTTGTTGTCATTGGAGGAATAAATAATTTTGTGTCCTCCATATATTTTGTATTTTATTTAGCGGTACTTTTCCAACGTTGGGGTCCACCACTTGCATCTGAACGCATTCCGACAAAAAAAACACACAACGTAGGTTCCATTTTGTTAGACGATCACTACCAAGGACAAATTTTTAATTTTTTTTTAATTTTTCGAGCGCTTTCAATTTTTTTTTCACATGTCAATTTAAGGCGGGAAGTTTGGGTTACCACACTACCAATTTTTAGAAATGTCATTTCGCTTTAACTATAACAGTACAAAATGCAAGTGACCACAGGGACAGGAAGCGAGGGCATTTTCGGAATTCTGCCTGTTTGCGTTCCAGTCCCTTTTCACCCTAAAACGAGGGTGACATTCGTCTGCTTCCCTACACGCTCGAGACAATGAGCCTATATTATTTTATTTATTTAATATAGTAATTTCTAAATTTTTCAAATGCGGATTCGCGATGTGGTTCCTTTTTTCTCTCAGCGCAAAATTTGAATTTCAAATCAGGACACCACAACTCTTTTGGTAATCCTTTGAACGTATGAAAAATATATTAAAAATAAAGTGTGGAAATTAATAAAATATTGATTAAAATTTCAATTACAAGTGAAATTCTTTTATGAATTTGAAAGAGGGAGAATTAAACAATATTTGTTGTTGTGATAACATTACATAAATTGGCCAAAATTTTAATTTATAATTCGTTGTCTCTTACGCATATTTTGTTTGACTGATGGTGATGGAATATTGTAAAGTAGAAGAGCAATTATTTTTTTCGTATTCACTATAACATATACACTCTTTCTGGGTACATACTTCATTGCCAGAAACTGAGGTCAAAGAATAATTTAATGCTTTCCACGACAGATGTTGAAAAACATGCAGCCTGTGTCCAGTATATGACTAAATTTCATTTAGAATTAAGATAGAAGCAGTTGCTTTATGCTTTGTTAAGAATATGTTTCCAAAATATATAACGATTGTCATTTAGTAAGGGTCTAATAACGGCATTTATAATTTTCTAAAAATTTCAGGTGCAATATAATGTACCCTAAAATCGCGCGTATAGTCCGCGGACTATACGTTGTTTTTCCTGACGCCGGGTGCGGACTATATGCGAGGGCGGACTATACGCTGTAGGAAAACCAACAAAAAATTTAAACGCAAAATAAACATATTCATTGGGCATTCTCAATATAAATGAAAAATAAAATATATAACAAAAATAAAAAGATTCTCAAAAGTACCTAGATACTTAAATTTAGGTACCTAAATAGGTAGCAAATATCGAACCTTATTGAACCATACAGACACGCACATTGTCCGCGGATTATACGCGAGGTTGCGGACTATCTGATTTTTAGGAGGGAGATTTAAAAACTGCGGACTATACGTGAGAGCGGACTATGCACGGGGACGGACTATACGCGCGATTTTAGGGTAACGGAATATGAAAAGACGATTCCTGTTTCCATGTCTATAATGGTGCTTTTGAAAAAAATCATTTCCTACTCTACTAAACCGATTTAAGATAACACATAAAGATGTTGAAACGTTTATTTAATTAGGATTACTTTCAGATTTTCGTTCCACTTTATTGCCCCAGTAAAGACTAGAAAACGTTAATCAGATTTATTTATTCTTATTAAATCAATCTTAATGCTTAGATCATATAATAAATTATTATATGATCTAAGTCTTAATGTAAAAATACAATTTAATTTAATTATAATTAAATAATTAAGCAGAGGCGCTACCTGCGATTCCTACGCTGTAACAATCATCGCTGCAAACTGTGCCGACCATTGATCTAATAAAAGAGTGGATAGAGCCTTGTATACGTTTCCATACGCGAACGAGTGTAATCAACATAAGAAAGAAATAGCTAGAGCGGTTATGCATCAGTGGAGAAAGGACGGCTGACCACGTATCACGTGCTGGGTGGCAAGAAACGCTTGATTTGAATGGGAATTAATACGTTTTCTTACGAATTTGTTCAAACAATCAATTATAACAAACGTCTGTTAATGAAAACTATATTTTTACAGTTTACATTAAAATTATGTGTAATGTGAAACAACAAAAATCATGTTAAGTGGTGGAGATAGTCTTTTAATAAAATGAAATGTATAGAGAATCTACAATATATTACGAATTCAGTTAGTACAATAATCTTCTACAAGTTAACTAATCTTGTAGTGTATGTTCATTGGTAATTCTGAAATTTTTGGGAAAAAAGTAATTAAACTTTCGATAAAAGTGACAGGGTGCCTAATTAAATTAAACATACTAAATTGTGTGGAATTTAACTAACTAAAATCTATTTTCTAAATCCACGTACAAATAATTAAAACAATAATCAATAGATATAAAATTCCCTCTTTTTGTAGAAATAATCCGTTTTTTTCCTAACTCGGAATGTTTAGGGAATCTAACAAATTTTTGAAATTATTTACGAAATCCTTCGTCTGTGTATGTGATTATTACCTATGAAATGAAACAGGATTGCTTTATTTGCACGTTCTATTCAATTATACGCACAACACGATTTCACGATGTTTAACAAATAGTCCAATAAAATACAAATTAAGAAGACTGTAGACATTTAATAAGGCAACTTGAGCCTAAAAAACGTAAATTTGCAAAAATACACCTTCAAACACCATGCGACAGCACGAAAGAAACATCCAGAAACAGTGCTCTGCAGTTTCGCGGCAATGTTTTGCCACCCAAAGAGCTCTATCTCTGTCCCACTGTGTTGACAACGCGCGTCTCTCTCTAAGTTACTTCCATATAATATTATTTCTATGGTGCCGACCTACCCCTTCTATGACCAAGATCGTAGAATATTTAACCAATACAAAAATTTTGCAAATTATGGCGGATAATTTGAAAGGTAGCAGGTGAATTTTAAAATAACAATAAAAAACACCATTTACTATTCGTAACTGAGTCCTATAATTCAAACAATCCATCCACAATCGCGTAGAAGTAGGTCAACATCACAAATACAAACGGTTATCAGTCAAACACCATGGGTGTTACTTTGTACCATTTTCCCATGAGTGGGCCTTCCAGAGGTGCCTTATTAGCTGCGAAAGCCGTCGGTGTACCCATTGATGTCCAACATCTAGATTTAATTGCAAAAGAACATTTAAAACCAGAGTTTATTAAGGTAAACGAAATTTGAGGTTATGTTTACATATTTTTTACATTGTAATGTTTTTGCAGATCAACCCGCAACACACAGTACCTACATTAGTTGATGGAGACTTTGTGGTGTGGGATAGTCATGCCATAGGCCCCTACTTGGTACGCACATATGGAAAAGATGATTCCTTGTACCCCAATGACCCAAAACAGAAAGCAATAGTTGATCAACGGTTGTACTTTGATTGTGGCACTTTGTACCCCAGAATACGCCAGATCTGTGTTAGTAACTTAGCCCCGTAAAATTAGTATCGACGCTAATAACGTTTTTGCAGTTTCCAGTACTGTTTCAAGGGGAGGAGGAGATTTACGATGAACACAAAACCTCCCTAGATGAAGCTTTAGGCTTCCTGGATGTATTCCTCGAAGGCAATGATTTTGTAGCTGGAAAAAATTTGACAGTTGCTGATTGCTGCTTAGTAGCTTCAGTGTCAAGTATTGTTGTAAGTAACAAAATACTTAGGTTGTTGGTTGTACTAAATGAGTCTGTAGTCTGTAGGGTGGGACATTACTCCATATTCAAATGTTAATTCCTGGGTAGCTCGCTGTGCTCTAACCATTCCAGATTATGCCGAAAGCAACCAGACGGGCGCCAACCAGTATGGGAAAGCCGTACGAAGTAAATTAGCACCAGGTCAAATTTAGGTTACTCATCCTTTCATACTTTTTGATAAAGAAATAGACGATTTTGAGTACATTTTTTGTTTTTTTATTTTATATAGTTGCATTTACAGTTCTGAGAATTCGTTCCGTTATTGTTTGCCTCGAACTGAATCATTACTATCAAAAACGTAACAATCGCATTGAAAATACGAAAGATTGTTTTTCGGTTAACGTCGAAAAATCGTGCGGCTGAAAAATTGGGAAAGTTATCACTAACCACGTTTATAAGTGACCGTATTTCTTCATTTCCGTTCCTCGTGACGTTCAAAAAACGATTTTGTAGTTTGTGTGCTATGGAGACGATTTTGTCGACTTCGTTTCTAATTGAATCGCAGAGAAAGATATTAGCGAAAGTAAACACCTTAAATGGGAATAAATATTTCATAAAAAAAGTTTTTACAGAAACTTACAAAGTGCCACAACAGAAAGGTAACGGCGTATGCAATAGTGGTGGGGGTATTTTTTCGTTGGACGAAAATGGATTCCAGATGTTGCAGGGTTTGTAAGCTCGTGAAACAAATCATTAGTAACATTGGCCATCCAAATAAATGGTTAAAAAGATCACTAGTCTCTTTCAATATGCAAATGTTGTGATTCGTTTTTCGAATATCATTTTTTGAGAACAGTTTTTTTGTCTGAAATTTCGAGAGTATCCTCTTGTTATACTGATACCTCACCAACAGCATTTGCAGTAAAGTATACATAACAAAATAAGTTAAAAACTGGGAATACATTTGCAGGTATTCAACAGCGTATTGTTTATAAAAGTCTAAACCCATTAATCGAGAATAGGTCCAAGTTTCATGGACCATCATTGCAATGTAAACGGTGTTTGCTACCACGAAACTTAGGTATCGTGTTTCTTCAGAAACATTCTCGCACTGCGTCATTTTTAAATTTTTTAGCACTCTACACCATTTTTCTTTTTTTCGTAGGGTTGTTAAAATTACACATATGTTCAGACTATACAGAAAAACGTCTAAAAAAACCTGGACAATAAGTTTGGCCGTATTTAGCTTTAAGTAAGATGGGTGTCTGTATATTCCAGATATAATAACTCCTAGTGAGTAAAGTCCAATTATAAAGATTACGTAGGGTAGTGAAGGTAGTGTCACTTTTTCTCCTTCTAATGTTCCAGGTGTCATTGCCAGCAGTCCTCCTATTTTAAACACAATTTTTAGCAATTTGAAACTCATTTTGTGGTGCTGAACTTGTTTTGTGAACTTAAGTCACTGGCCAGTAGTTGGAGCAATCAATATTGGAAGTGCTAGCTAATTAATAACCGGATTTATTTGGTTTCAAAAGCACAAAATAGAATGCGTTTAAATCTTTGATTATAGTTAAGGGTAAAATACTGTGTTGGAGGTAAATCGTGTCTATGTTTGTTCCTGTTTCATTAGTTTTCTTTTTTGCTGACAATAATACAGTGTTAAGGGGGTGTTTGTTGAGTAAAAAACAGGAACTAGAAATAAACAATTTCTGCTTTCGTTTTATAAATTAGAGATGTTTTCATAAATCAAAAAAAAGTCTAGCACTGTCGTCTCATTGTTGGAAATCTTTCCATAGTTAAATAATCTAAGCGATCATCTTAAAATCTTAAATGTCCCTTATGTCGCAGTGATTTCGTAGGTAATATTTTTAAATGTGTTCCTTATATAAGTTAATAATATAAATATAATAATAAATAAAATAATTTTCCATTCTAGAAAATTGAGGACGTCATGTCCAAAAATTATTAAAGCTCTGTCAATAATACGTTCTGAAATGCATATAACATTGATTTTACTTCAAAAACGTCGGAAATTGGTGTTAATAGTAACAGTTCAGATTTCTAAACTTCGTAATGTATAAATTTTAACACTTCTGAAAATCTAAAATGTAATCTAAAAATAAACGGACTTATTTCTCAGCTGAGAAAACTCTCCAACTTTCAAAAATGAAATCAAATGTTATAAATAGATACAAATATGTATTGGGATATCACAAATTTAAAACGCACTAAGAATAAAGTCATTAAAGTAACTAGATGGTAATACTCAAATTTTTACGGTGGAGTAGCGATAAATATAAATATGGACAGACGAGCAAAAACAAAGTTGAGTAGCGGGAGCACGGTATAGCGACAGCAGCGCGAAGGGCGTCTCTTCCCCAAGGTCTATCTGCCCTTACCACAATCACAATACGCGCCATGAATTTAAATACTGACATTCCTGAGGCTTATTTCCATCCTGCCAAAAGACGCAACCAGCTAGACATCCTGATTCACTAGGGTGGAAAATGCGCTATTACATACAAATATCTACATGAAAATGGCAAGGACAGAGCTCTCAATTTGAGTATGCAGTGCGTTTATTTGATATAAAGCAAATCAGGTATTTATTAAATTATTCATTAATTCAACTTAATGATTAAATAATGCGCATGCCTCCATGTCTTAAAAATAGAACCTCCAAATTTAGTGTGTCGTATAACAACATCAAAGTAAACCCCACAATTCCCCACATCACTCAGACCACGATGTTATTAGCTGATAATTTTCAAAGCCCTTTCTTTCAAAATGGATCAACGTTGAGGATTAGTTTAAATGACGTGAATGAACAAAGTTTTACACATTTCAGATTAGAAGTCATTAATACACTGATACTGTATTAATTACGCTCGTTGCGGAAGACTATTGTATTGATTGCGATGATTTTTTTTATTTTTAATTTTTCAAATGCGGTTTCATGGCGTTTAAACTTACAGTTTCAAATTCACGACACTGCAATACAGTTGATGTTTGCAGTCCCAGCCTTTAAATAAGGTCTTTAAGAAGGTATTGTTTAATTTTCTGGTAGTCTTAGTATTGTTACGGTGAGCGGTAATTGAAAATCGACGTGGGTAAACTCATCAACTTATTTCTCAGTAGTATTAATTTACACGACTAATTATACAGGGATTATGTCCAGAATAATTCCGACTCGACTGGAATGGATTTGACTAGACCCGAATTCTCTCAACAATGACTGCACACTCGTTGACTGCATCCCTCGTTCCCGAAGATGGCCTCTATTTAAATCCATACTTCCCTTCTAGATATTCCGCGATCGAGGTTTTTCTAAAGTACCTATCGTGACTTCCGCTTCCAGGCTTTTCTTTAATAAACACCGCTCGGCCGCCGTCACCGATGATGAGTCACCCATCATCATCGTACAAACTGGAAAGCAACCAGTAAATCAAAGAAATTTCATTTAATTAACCTCATAGTCTTGATTTTTTGTCTTAGGAATCTGCCACTGAATTACCGTTTTTGGATAGTGGTTGGTTGCATCAGAATAACTGGAAAGTATAGCTTTCCGGTCTATTTTCTTCACTAACGTTAATGAAAGAAATAAAACTATTGCTTTTAAATGTACACTTTATTTTCTTTCTAGTCGTCCTTACATAAATTTTATAAATAAATAAATAAATAAATAAATATGTAAATAGTTTTTGTTCGTTTATTCTGTTTTACTTACTTATTTATCTACATATTTGTAACTGAATTTTTTGGTTTGGACTAAACTTTGACAGTGCCCTGATGCGATTTTTAACCAGAATTTTTTTGATGTCCTACGAAAATTATGTCCCATGTATAACAACATTGTAAGATTCTATTTGAATACAATTTTACTCTTAAATACTGTATGCACCATGAAATTGTACATTACTTTAATTACTTCGTTTTGTTACATACACATTTTAGCGGAGACGCAGTGGTACCAGCGTTTGGATCTTGACTGTATTCAAACTGAAGCATAACAACCAAGAAAGTAACAATGGTGTTGAAAATTTGAAAAACCGTTTTTCGATTCACGTCGAAAAAGTTAGCAGCCGAAAAATTGGGGAAATTTTCTTTGACCACGTTTATAAATAAGCGAATTTGTTCACTTTCTTTGGTTTTGTTGTCTGAGAATAATGTTTCCATCTTAGATGCCACTGCTAATATTTTTTCTACTTCGTCTTGTATGGAACCACACAGAAGTATATTGCCATAGGTCCAGAACTTAAATTACGTCATTAGCTAAAGATATTTTTGGGTGAAAACTTACGAAGTGCCACGCAATCATGCTTATGCTGTACAACGTGACGGAAACATTGCCTCTTCTTTTGACTAAAATTGTCTGTATAGTCTGTAGAATTTGCAGCGTTGTGAAAGAAACGATGAGTAAAAATGGCCATCCAAAAATATTGTTGATAAGATCGCTAGTCTCTCGCAGAAAACAAATATCACATTTAATTTTTTGTAAATACCAGAAGTAGTCTTTAGTAAGCAGTCTTCTTTTTCCAAATTCTGATGTAAATCTTGTGATGTATTCGTACCTCATCAGCAACATTTTCAAGACAACGTACAGAAGAAAGTAGAGGATAAACTGAGAGTACATTTGGAGGTATTCTATAGCATATTGTTTTACAAAGTCTAAACCCATCAAGCTTCCATACACCCAACCTTCCAAAATACTAAGTACGACATATACAAGGTTTGCTATTACGAAGCGTAAATATTGTGCATTTTCGGAACTCTTGTGGTGCGTTATTTTTAGGTTTAAAAGCAATTTGCGCCACTCGGATTTTTTTCGTACGGCTGTTAAAATTGTGCCTATGTTAATCAAATACAAGGAAGCGTCTAAAAGAACTTGAACTGTGAACTTCGCACTACTTAGTTCTACGTAAACCGGATATCTGTAAATTGCGGATATAAAAAGTCCAACTGAATAAATACCAGTTACGAAGAATGCATAAGGTAGTGAGGGAAAGTGAACTGTTTTGGTTTCGGAGTTCCAGGGACTCATGGCTAAAATTTTTCCCACTTGAAACACAACTTCTAATAATTTAAAGCTCATCTTAGTTGACTTAGGTGTTTAAGTTGTGTTGGTTGATAAAAATTACGTATGAATATTTGAGGCCAGTAATTAGTCATCTGGATTTATTAGAGTGCTATTATTGATTATTTAATGACGAAATATTTTACCGTGACTAATTAATTGCTTTATTTACTGTAATCTACTTGTTTATCGTTCTTATAAATATGCGGCTTATTTATTTACCGTTGATTTTTTTAGAAAGTAATTTTATGTATTAAAAAAAAAATGGGTCAGGTCGGCCCCAATTTTCGCTGAAATATATTTCAGGAATCTGTGTAGATGATGAACACTAATTAAAATTTTGCACATTAAGTAAATATTACTTAAATTCTACAAAATAACATATTTACTACACTTGTCGTTTATGAATCCGTCTTGAATTTTTACTAGGTAAATCCAAGGACCGGTTAATTATGAAGTTACATTACAACTGCATGGTGGGTGGCAAGTGCATTCCGCAACGTTGTTATTCCCAGTTTGAAACTGAATCATAACAATCAAAAAAGTAATAACTGCATTAAAAATCCCCAAAATGGCGCTCCGATTTATCTCAAAAAATCTGTAGGCTACGAACGTCGGTAAATTTTCTCTGAACATAACTACCAACAGTCGAAACTCCTCCGGTTCATTATCCTTTTCACTAAAACGTCTCTTACAACTGCAAATGAAGGCCAATATTGTTTCAGCCTCATGTACTATGGCATCACATAGCAAAATATTACCAAAAGTCGCAATCTAAACCATAAACATGTATAAATTACAAAATAAAATCGACAACTTACCGAAATCCACAAAATAATATTAATGTTAGACACAACAGCATCAACGGATTTTCTCATGCCACTAAAAATATCTTGCAAGTAGACCAAAATTTGAAGGCTTGTAAAGACAATCGTTAGTAGAAAGGGCAAGCCGAAAATATCGTTAAAGAAAGTAACTGTTTCTCTCAAAGTGAGACTTTTGTTCCTGATCTTGTGTAACATTTGTGAACTTACTGATGCTTTTAGTGTGGTAACAGTGAATCGTGATAAAGATTGATATTTCGACAAAACAATTTTTAAGAAAACAAAAATTAGGAAAAATTGTATAAAAAGCGCATATATTTGAAAAAATTCCAGAAAATATTTCTTGTAGAACTCTATACCAATTCGTCGAGTTAGCGACCATAAATAAAAACCATGAATACCCAACAAGATCATATTAGGTATTGTAAACCACCAAATGTGTGAATTATCGCTAATATCATTTAGTGTTTCTTCAAAATGGTTTAATAAAGAACACCACTGAACTTTTTTTGTAATAACGGTAGAGACTCCATAGACATTGACAATGTATAAAAGACTATCCAACGTAAGTTGTATAAAGAACTTCATATGCATTAATTCTACATAGTCTGACATTTTATAATAGCCAGAAAATATTACAATTCCAGTGTAAAATACAAACATCAAATAAGCGCGCATTTTGGGGGGAAAATCTTTTTTACCATTAACGTATATCGGGCTCATTGCTAAAAGTCTGCCATTTCTAAGAACAAGCTTTAGTAGTTTCAAGCTCATATTTCTTTTTTGGAACTTTTTCACGGACGTAAAAACCACTGATTTTAGAATGAACAACCCAATATTACTGTGACATTTTCATGAAATAGGGCAAATACAAACCAATTATTTTATTATTGACTACAAATCATATACTTTTCTATAATTATCTGAACACACGTAGACAAACAAATCAAGTAATGCTGACCATTTTTTTTCATGGTGTGCCTCAAGGTGAACTCATATTCCTATGATTTTTAATCGCTACCAGTGTTATTGTAGCAACACTTTTCGTCACTATATGATATATTGCTCATTTCAAATTGAATCATAACTATTAAGAACGTAACAATAGCGTTAAAAATTCCAAAGATTGTTTTTCGGTCAATAGTGAAAAATCGTACTGCATAAAAAACCGGAATGTTGTTTTTTATGTCAGTAATAAATTTTTGTAAGTTGTCATTTTCGTTGTCGTTTTCGAACAAGAAGTATCTTTTCAAATTATAAGCTTCGTTTACAAGTTGGCTGCCCTCACTAGTAATGGCGTCACAGAGAAAAATGTTGACCAAAACGCAAAGCTAAAATAGAAGAAGTGGGATAAAATACAAATTTTGGAAATCTACTTACACAGTGCCACAAAATAACAATCACACAATAAATAGTTGCGAGATTGTTCTTGAACGATTTTATAACGATACTGTGAAGATAAGTCAAAATTTGAAGATTAATAAAAATGATAGTGTAGAGGATCGGCCATCCAAAAATATCATTTACGATATCAACTGCTTCTTTTAAAACAGAGTTTTGGTAATTTATTCGATTTAAAAAAATTAGGGTGGGTTTTTGTTGCCTTTCCTCTTTTTGTTTGAGTAGAACCAGCTGCTTTTGCACGTATTTCGTTAAATGTTGGTATCTCAGCAGCAACATTTTCAGACAAACAAAAAATAAGAAATTGATCATGAACATGTCATACATTTGAAGATATTCGATTGCGTACATCTGGAAAAAGCTGATTCCCATTAGCCGATTGAAAACGTAAGTTTCGTATGTTTGGTAGCCACAATACAACATGTTGCCGATTATGAAAAATATGTAGTGTGATTTTTCTTTAATTTTATGGATACTCAGTACCACTTTAAGGTTTTGTATCAATTTCTTCCACTGTTGTTTTTTCTCGCGGGTTCTCACTATTGTATAAATATTTAATACGTACAGAACTGCATCCAAAAAAACTTGAATTATGGCTTTTATCGAATTTGTTTCAAGATATGAAGGTGCTCTGTAGGCAACTGATATTGCCACTCCAGTTGTGAGAAATGTTAGCATAGCGTATGGGTAGATTCTTTCCATAAAACCATCAGGTGATTTGTCTGAATAACCTGGAGTGATGGCCAACAGTTTTCCCACTTGAAGTGCTAGCTTTAAAAGTTTATGACCCATTTTATATCAGTTTGAAATTTATATGTTTCTACAGTGTCCTTTTAAATATATATATAAACAAAAATAAATGTTTATTGGTCAATTGTCAACGTAAAAAATTATATATTATTGATAATCATGTTAATATCACGAATGTTTTTCAGGTGTTTATTCACAACATGTTTGTCTATTTTTATACTAAATATGCCTAGTTTATTTAAAAAACTCAGTACAAGGTTGAACTAATAATACATATGTGCTTACGACTGGGTAGGAAAATTTCAGTCAGTAAAATTATTTTGTCACTTTGAACAAATTTTTGTTTATAACGAATGTCTAAAAATTGGGCTCATTAAGAAAGAAAATAATAGAAATTACAGGAAGATTTATTGATATTTTTTAGGATTTGCGTATAATGAATGTAATAAATTTTCATAGTCGAACGCACAAATAGTAACAACAGTAGTGAAAAACTTGTATAAGTGTAAGTGTAAAGATCTAGTACCCATTTTAGTTTAATATTTCAATATATTGTTATTAAACAAAGTAATTAATGTTATCTTAAATACCTATAAAGAAATGTTTAACAAAACTTGATATTATACATATCTTTAGAAAAAATCGATTAATCTAAACAACTTAAAGGATTCGTCATTTCTTAACAAAGTTATAATAAAATCAGGATAGTTAACTGTTAAATTTGAGAAAATTATTTCTTAAACGACAACAAATTAGGATTACCTACAGGTTCGAAAATTTGAGTTAATTTGGAGTTAATTTTGAATCAAATCAATGGGTTCACAAAGGATCTCCACCCCCAAAAGGGGCACGGCGGGAACCATCTGCCCAAAAATTGATGGCAATCGTTTTTTGGGACATTAGAAGTATACTTCTTATTAAATACATACCTAAAGGCATAACAATAAAAGTAGACAACTATGCCATCACTCTCAAAAATTTGGGTAAGGCAATTAATGAGAAACGGCCCATGTTGACCAACAGAGAAGTGTTTCTGCTTCACGACTATGCGAGGCTGCATAAGGCGGCTAAAATTCAGCACGTTGTGCAAGAATTCAGGTTCGTTGGAATGGATCATTTCCCCTATATTTGTGATCTAGTTGCGTCTGACTTTTATTGATTCAGATTTTTTTAAAAACACCTCCGCGGACCTCTTTTTAAGTCTGATGAATGCCTAAAAGAAGCAGTTTAACATTTTTTCAACGATCACGAAGAAATATTTTTTCTCAAGGGCATAAAATCATTGGAGAGTAAATGGCGCAAGTGCGTTGATGTAGTGGGTGATTATATTTAAAAATAAAATTATCACCAAAATCGTACGTCTTTTGTTTCATAGTTAGGTAGAAAATATATTTAGTGGCCCTCGTATTTATTCTCTTGAAGAAATTATTGCGTCATCTTAAAATTTTGTCATACACTTTCATTGAAATTCTACTAAAACAATAACGATGTATTTAGAGTGGAAATACTTTGAGAAGAACACATTAATAAAATGATTCTTTGTTATGCTTCAGTAGCAAGCATATAAATAACCTTGCAGCACTTCTAGAGTAATATCTAAGAGAAATATTGCTAATAAGTTGTTTTGACAAAATCTAGTTTCGTGTTTTTTACGCTTCACCACGCCCGGTATATAAAAATTGGTCTAAAGAGTTTAGACAGTACTTCCTTCGCTATCGAGACGTGACGACTGCAAGCCTATTATGTCTTTTTTCGTATTACATTTTTGTAATTCTTGATTTAATCAATAAAATTAATTGACTCAGTCATTAATTTTTTTCAGACACCCTGTATAAGCAAATCTAAAAAATATTAATGCAGTGATAAATCACAAGTATAGGTTCATCATTTTTTACACATTTAAGCATTTTTTCATCAAAATTTTGCGGTGGCGTCATCAAATTTTTAGGGGGGATGAGCAAATACATTTTGATCAAATTTTTACCATACTTATAATCTTTATTTCCAACGGACAAAAAACACCCAATTACAGGAAACAATTAGAAAAGAATGAAACATAT